AAAGTAGTATAGGTTTATTCTAGTAACACATCAAGGTAGGGTAGGTTTATTCTATACAGATTAAATTAGTATAAGCTTATTCTACATACATTAACGTAGTGTAGGTTTATTCCACATATATTAAAAGTAGTGCATGTATATTCTATACTACACATTAAAAGTAGTATAGGTTTATTCTAGTAACACATCAAGGTAGGGTAGGTTTATTCTATACAGATTAAATTAGTATAAGCTTATTCTACATACATTAACGTAGTGTAGGTTTGTTCTACACACATTAAAATAGTGTAGGTTTATTTTAGCACTGTCCTTTGTACTCATGAAAAAATAGTTAATTCTGGTTTAGAAAATGCATACGTCACAAATAGTTGTGTATTCAAAGATCAAGGTTTAGGTCAGTTTATTTAGAATAAAATTAAGGCTTTACTTTTATAACTTATAATAATGAAATCGATTAAAACTGCTTTTTTTGTATGTTTCACTATTTAACACTCGTGTTGTTATCACCCATTATTAGAAATTATATTGATATCCAACAGGCGGATCACGTTACGCATCATCACTTGTTACCAAGACAACCAATAGTAATAGAGTAAAAAGACACTGACCATACATAATCCCATAACGGTGCTGTCATATGATATTATGTGAGTTAGATAACATTATTATAACGAGAGTTTCATAGGATATCACTAATCACAGTAGTGCTTAGTATGTAGGGGTGGGCCGAGAAAAAAATGGCCGCCCCATTCAATCTATTACTCTATGATGCTTACAAATAACTGCTAAAGTTCAGTTATAGCCTTATTTGAACACTTAATTGCCATTATCGAGTGTTTTACAGCTTTTATAACAATAATATTATTATATTCTTCTACCACAGGTATTTTTGTGGGGAAATAATAAAAAGAAAAACTACTACTTAGCAGTAGGTTTAGTTTATAAACATATATTATTTCCATGTTTCATAAATAACAGTTTTATTTCTGGTCGCTAAATGGCAGCACAAATTGTTCTTATATAACGACCGTTTGTGTTTGTGACTATTCATTGCACAAACATGATATCTGCCAAAACAATTTCAGAAAAAGAAATAATAATCTAAATTAATATTCAAGGTATCAAGGAGATCAAGTGTTTATGCAACTGACAGATCTGTGTATATGTTATTGATGTCTGAGTTTTAAAACACCAGTTTGTTAATTATCAAAACAATACAGTAGATAGCGGTCTACTTTCTTCAAATTTTCAGTGAGGCCGAGCCTGGCAGCTGTGTGTGCATGTGTGGTATCATACTTCATGGCCTGGGATCTGTATGATGTCCTATCTATTAATTGACATTATTCTAGCATGAGGTGGAGTCGATTGTATACACATTCAGTGAATTGGGATGAAGTTGGAATATCCCCTTAACGTCGGTCTAGCACTCTGGGGTACTTGTACCATCCTGGAGAAATCATTTCAGCTTCACTGGCCCCCAATGTAATCCAAAATTAGAGAAACTGACAAAACTGGTATGATATTAAAAATATGCATTACCATTGTATTATATAAATATAACAAATGTTCACTTATCAACCTACTTCAATGAACTTGTTTTAAAAAAAGGAGAAACAAGAAATAAAAAATATGCAAAAATTAAGTATGGTGTAGGGATGACAATGCCAAAAAGTACAGAAACAATGTATAGATGAATACACAAAACCATACAAAAATCACTACATAAGTAGTCAAATCTTCCCAAGAATAACTTTTATTGATAGCTAAATATTGAATTCCTATCAGTTGCATAAATTCAGGTTTGAATAAACTCAGTCTTACAGTGGCTAATAACCATAAACTTGTAAAATTGACTCAGTACTTACTAGCTACTTATGTATTGATTTTTGTGTGGTTTTGTGTATTTATCCCTACCTTGTTTCTGTACTTTTTTTTTGACATTGCAATCCTTACATCATACTTCATTAGTGCAATTTTCTTTATTACTTGTATACATATTCATCTGTGTGTCTGTATTAATTTGCTCAGATGGTTAATAAGGAATTCAAAGCTGGAGAAACTGGGGTATTTAGAAATACCATGGATTTATTTTATCTTTTTTTTATTATAAAAGTAAACCTTTTTCTGGTTCACAAAATTTCACATATGTTGGCACATGCGTTTTCCTATAGCTTTGAATTGTGTTGACCTTATTCACATAATGTCAAAGGTCATTCCCTCTTATTAATTTTAAGCCTTCACCCTTGTTAGTGTTGCTGGGAAATTCCTTTAGAGGTCTTTTGGCCATATCAATCACAAAAGGTATTGAGGTATTAAATACATGTTATTTTTATTTCCCTTAATGTTAGTAATTAAGTAACACGAATGACAACGCATTCTGGGAAAAACTGACGCTATTCGAAATCCTCTTCGTGGCAAATGGTAACAACTGTTTGAATAAGTGGGATTCCAACAGGGGAAAAATTGGCTACTCCACCAGCTGCTAACAGTTACACACTGGGATAGTTAGAAAAGTTTAACAACTTCATACCGTAACAAACAAATACAGTAGTTCCTTCCAACTTAGAACTGTAAAAAACTAATTCACACGGATCTAACTCTACTTACAAGCTTCTTTCAAAACAATTAACTGAAAGTAAGACCATGAAACTGTCAAAACTTTTAGGAGTGGTACCTAGCATGTAACAAATGGAAGTTTGTAGTCACATTTGACGAAGTATTTGTGTAATTAATTGTCTGTAAAAGCCCGAGAAATTTATTACCGTTCTGCCAGTGATACAACAATTAAAAAAATATTATAAAAACATATTGAAATAATTTTACAAGTGATTTATTGTGATTGGGAGCTAAAGTTATAATGGTAGGTTAAGTATCTAGAAAGACCAGAAAAAATGAAAACAAACAATGAAAGAAAAAGTACCAAGTTCATAACATTTGGATGCCAATAATATATGGATGCATCAAGAAAAAGCGTTCAGCTACATGGCTAAGTCAGTATACGTTGTATGTCCTTATGATACAATCAATGTGACAGTTCTTCCTCATGTTGAAATTACAAAACGAAAATTCATGTAATAACATTTGCAGACATTTTCCATGTACTTTTAGAGACCCTCATAAAAAAACATAAGGAGGAGGAGGACAACATTAACCTCAGTGTTTGCACAAGGCTTCCTGTAGTGAAAACTGTCATACGGAGCAACAGTCCATAAACAGGGCCATCACATGAAACATCATCAGCGGTGACTGTAAGGCCTAGGAAATGATCCTTGTATAGTTACCACAGAATTAAACACCTCTCTGTATAGTGGTTATATTTCTCAGCTTGAGAATGAGTTAAATCGCATCTTTCCAAGCACTCAAAGGGAAACGTGCAAGTGTCATGAGCAAACAATCCACTTGCGGAACTTGGCTTGTTTAGTTAAGCATCTTTCGTCGCGAAACTTTGTTATCCAGTCCCTTCCTCACTTTGAGCTGAGTCGTGTTTGAAAATTGGAGTACACATTTTACAATGCATTTCCTGGCGAACTTCTTGTTAAACAATACTTTCCAAACCTGGGATCACGAGTTTGGCAGACTAAAAACGTCATACGTATCAAAAAAAAAAAAAAAAGCTGAAAGTGTTGGTTGAAATTTATTTTCAAACAGGTGAAGTCGCACAGATTCGGGATCTCTGAAATATGACATCAGTGCAGCTGAAAATAGCAGAATCGTTTTTCCAAAACCCAACTCCCCCGAGCTTGCTACATTTTCAGTACATACAACGTAAACCAACCTTTAATCTTGTTTAACAGTTAATTACTATCTAATTATTGCTAACTGTTAAAACCTGAGAAGGCTAACAATACGAACAGTTAGCAATAATTATGGTTTTATTAATCAAATAGGTAACAACGTATTGTTAGCCTTCTCAGATTTTTAGGTAACAACGTATT